CAGATTGTCTCTGATGCAACAAAATAAACCTTAAATTATGTATGTTAACAAAGTATTACCACATTTATCAGAGACTCTGGGGCCTAAGTACCCTGCTCATGAATGTGCCGGTCTTAATACTCATGTTCAGGGACATCAGGAAGTGCAGCTTTAACACCAAAGTGGATAAAGCTGCTTTTTTTTTCCCCCCATCTGTGGTTTAGGACCCCAAGAGATACACTTAATTAAGAGTATCCTGAGGGTTATCTTCTGCTTATCCCACTGGATTCAAACCCATATGGTGAGTGTTAATTAGGCTGGCAAGCACTCGATGAAGCTACATTGCCAGTACTGTGAATTAATGAGTGTCTGGATCATGGTTAGGAAATGCTCTGGGGTTGTCTGCTCCTGCAATCGAAGACATGATAACCTGTATCTGAAGGATGGCATCTCCTACAGGGCAGTGTTCCCACTAGTAGTTGAGGTCTCTGCTGCCTCAGAGAAGCGTGCTGTTGTCTCAGTTTCAGTACTGCAAAAATCATGACTCAGGCCACCAAAAGAATAGTAGTGCTTTGGGTTTTATGATTTGGCTCATCTTGTGTCATCTCCCCCCGCTTTAGGCTATACTTGGATCACGTTTTTGAGCTCTTCCCTGAAACAGTGAATGCTAAATTTGTTTTTTTTTCAAAGCCTTGTAGAAATACGTTTTAAAGTCAATTGCATTATTACTAAAGCTGACACCAAATACTTGGAGACTCATGTAAAATGGCCAGCATTAGTGATGCTGCAGTCCCAAACATGAGTTGTATCAACCTGCATTTCATTTACAAGCATCCTGTTAAAGACAATTCTCTGAATGCAAATAGCACTTACAGAAGTAAATGAAATTCTGTCTTCATTTATTCTGTCTTGAGATATTTATGGCAGGTTAAAGCTATACCAAGAGTCTGAAGCAAGCCAAAATTCTGTAGGTTTTACTATGATGTTTTATTAAGTTTCATTCCCAAAGGTCTCACCTAAAAGACAAATTGAATTAGACATGCAACATTGCTTATGAAAAATTAAGCAGGTTATCTTTAAGTTATAGTGTAAAGCTCGATTTATTTACACAATTTCATGTGAACAAGAGAACATTGTAGGCAGGTCATTTGTACATTCAGCCAACACAGGAGCTGTATTGACAGCATTAAGTTACAGGTAAGATACACACTGAGAAGTATTAAGTGCTCTGGTGCATTGAAAAGCCACACAGTGTGGAGGCAAGAGATGTCAATTCACGGTTGATAAAGCAGCTGGGAGATAAGAGTCACGGAGCTATTCTACCTGTGAGGGAGGCAGCAGTCAGTTGATTTTTGTGCCCACTTTTTCAGCTCTTGATGCTGAAAAATGCTGCCCATGTGGGAATCTAGGAGTACTCTGCTGTTGGCAGTGCCCTGCTTTGCAGGATCAGCCCTGGATAAGCTGAGGCTCTGCCATACACAAGTTACTATGTGCTGGACACCAACAGATTCTTTTTCATGCTGCAAGAACTACTAGAATATGGCACAAGGCTCCTCTCCGTTAAATCTGGATGTGCTATTTAGCTGGAAATGTTTGCTGCAATCCTGGGCATGGCTCTTTGTCACCTCAGACCAACAAATATTCTGTAAGTATAGACTTGAGGGTACAAAAGCTGTTTTCAGCTTATAAGCTCTGAACTAGAAGGGAGGTAGGGAGTTGATTTCAGTCCTAACCTACACCCTCCCACTGTTAGAAAGAGCACCCAAGTCCTGCAGTCAAATTTAAACAGATGTTTCAGGGGCTCTGTTCATGCCTCCTCAGCAACAGAGCTGGCAGCTGTAACACTGCTGAAGAGCAGAAAGAAATCACTGGGAAGCTTGGGAGAAAAAGCAAGAGAAAAACCACAGAAAACCCTGCACATTTCAAACTTCAAGTATTGAACATAAGCAGCAAGCTGGGGTGAGGTGCAGCCCAACAGTCCCACTGCTGTGCTTGCAGTGAATAACACAGATTGGCAAAAATGCAACCTTTACCACATCAGTGCATTGGGTTGAACAGCCCAAGGAACACCTGAGGCTCCACTGATGTGAGACAATGGACTAAGCACAAATATTGTGATTTATGTACTGTAGAAACACACATCACCTCCCTTGGAGACCTTTGTCAGGAAGCTTCCAAGAGCAAGTCTTGCTGCAGGTAAAAACTGTCATTATTAAGTAGAATTATTTAAATGCACACAGACTGTGTAAATAAAACATGGTTATATAAAGCTTTGGAGCAAGACTCTTGCTTTTAGAGTCTTTGAAAGAAAAGGGCCAAAATAGCACAAGAATACAAAAGCTGGCTTGAAATTTTACCCAGAGCAGAAGACAGCCATAGGCTCCCTGGCAGAGGCCAGGAGTAGATCAGTGCTCAGGCTACAGGGCTGAAGAGAATCCAGACAGTTTATTGCAAAAAAATAATCACTGAATCAGGCCAGAGAGCAGCCCACAAAAGAGAAGCACAAGCAGGGCTTCTGCATCAGAGGAGCACTCTTCCCCTGGCAGAGCACTCTGTCTCTTATGTCAAGTGCCAGGAGTAGGAGAAAAACCTAAGCAGCCATTTTACTGGCTCTGAAGTCTGCACACCAGTCAAGGGCAGTTTTTAAATACTCCTGAAAAATTAAGAACTGAGAAAACTTAACACAGGACCATCCTAATAGCAGGAGTAAAAACGTTTAGGAGCTCCTGAGTAATTATTTTATTTGACAGCAAGAGCTGTAATAATTAAACACAGGTAATATTGCCATGTAAAAAGTGGGGTTTTGTAGCTACGCATGGTTTAGCACAGCTTGTTTTAAAACAGTCTGTTTCTGTGGTTTAACTAATAGGTCAAAACAGCTACTGCCTCATTGATTAGAAGAGAAGAGATAAGGAAAGCCAGCATTCTTGTACCCTTCCCACTCAGCCACCCTGTACTGCTTTGTTTTGTACTGTTAATGAACAAAAGCTGCACCTAAATTCACAAACAATTGATTGCCAGGGATTCAAAGCCAAAGGTAGTAAATCAGTGTCACCAAACTCCAACAAGATGAATGTTCTGGCAGTATTAGCCCATTAACATTGTTATCTTACTTAAACACAAAAAAGTATTGAGGAGAAAAGAAAAGCTGTTATTTCTTGAGGTTTCATAAGCTGCAGGGTATGGGATGTCACTGATAAGATCTGAATTTTCAGACATGCCAAGTTGGTGAAGAAACTTCATATATAGGTACAGGTACAGCCACTAGGTATCTACTCTTTGCAGGAGGGAAAAGTTATCATTTTTCTAAGCTGCACAAAAATGCCAAAGCAATCTCAGCTATTTCCAGATTAAATAATTAGTATTCAGAGCTGGCAAAGCAAACATACGCAAAAGAACAGTCCTTTGTCATATACAATAGCAAGAACCTGGAATAACTATATACAAATCAGTTGAGTTCTCATGAATTTTTAGTAGTGGGAACAGAAACTGGCCACGAGTCAATTTAAAATAAATAAATAAAATTGCAAAAAGCCGCTGTTGCAAATCCAAGAGCCTCCCAAACTCCTTGGTATCAGAGGAACCACTTAAAAATGCAGAGAACACAGGCACTGTTCATCTCAAACAAAGTTGCTTAAGGTCCTGCAGGCACTTCACTAGATATACGGTCCAAGACACTCCAAGTAGACTTAAAAATTCTGTTTTGCAGCAAAACAACAGCTTTTAGAAAAGATTATGATCTCCAAGAGCCAGTGTCACTTCCATCTGCCAATAAATGTTGTACTTTGCCCTTTTCACTTGACAAGTTCCCCCCCCTTGTGTCCATTCTCCCTTCCTATCAGCTTCCAGCCATCTCTTGGAAGCTGGAAAGATAAATATCATGAGTACACAATGTCCCATTATTCTTACAGTCCTCACTGAGTGCTGGACTGTACGTGCTTCTTTTTTTTTTCTTCTTAGGCCATTGACAATATTAAATTAGCATCCCTTTTTTGGCTTTTTTGAGAAAAAAAAACCCCCAAAACCCAATTAAAAGGGGGGATCCCAGCCTGTACCACCTAGACTGAGCTTTTTAACTAAGGAATGTCAACACCTTTAAGCGCTTAAGACCACGAAACAAAGTTGGAAATCCTGCCTTAACCAGAAAGAAAATAAGTGATAGAGCATTAGGACCTCATAAAAAAAAACTACATTAAGTTCCACCAGATACCAGTCACGTTACCATTCCCATCTTTTCTTGTACTTTGCAGTGTTTCCTCTGCACCATTTAATTCAACTTGAAGCTCCTGCTATGAAACCAGAAAACTGGTAAATAATCTTTGTTCTCAGCTGCCAGTGGTGCTGTAAGAATAATTCACATTCTCAGTGCATGTGTTCAACACTAGTCAGAGAAAAGTTGTACAGAAGTGCCCAAGAGTCACATTTTGAAGGACTACAGTAGCTTGCTTACTCTAACCAGTTATGCTGCTCTAAAGACACAGTAGGTTGCAGTATTCATGCTTGAAAACAATGACATTTTATTGCCATGTTAAGGTAGTTTGGTGCTCACACTAGAGACATGAGGATTTACAGCTTTTCTGGAAATCCATCATGGTCTCTGTCTATGAAAGATTAAATCCTGCCCTCCTCTCTCTTTGAGCAACTCCTGACAACTTCTATTTGGAGATAAACCCACTCCCAGCAGGACTAAAAATTGCACAGTCACTTCTCTCCCCACAGCTCTGTGATCTCACACTCTCTGCTGGCTCACTGGTTTCATGCTGCCATGATGCTGCACTCACCACTTCACACTTCCAGGTAGCAGCTTCCAATGGAGAACTGTGATTTACCTCTTGCTAAGACAAATGCTTTCAACTTCTCAACCACAGAGAGTTGTTTATTTTAATAATCAGCCTTGAAAGCAAAGTTTGAGACGAGCTTTAAACTATATCAAGGTTGGCTTTAACACTTGCTTATATTTCAATGGGTAAATAAATAAAGGTCCTACTTCTGATGGTTCAAATCAGTTCCTTAAAGGTCACTCACTCCTTTTTGCTGTGCTCCAGCACCCGATAGGGTGGAGCAGAAACTCCTTTGGAACCATGTTGCTCCTGCACGATGGGCAGTGTAGCTGGAGTATAAATTTCTGGTGTGTTGTCATTGTTCTCCAGGGCACCGTAGGAAAAAGAAGCTTTGAGGTCAGGCTGAACTGCAATCCCTTTATCGTGCATGTTCTGCATGCCTGAAAAGAGCAGAGACAGAGATTAAATGCTTAGAACAGAAGTGCATCCTTCCTGCACTCTGTTAAATCAGTAAATTAAAGCCTCCTGATATGCAGCTCATCAGGTCCTTCAGTGTTAAATGAAAGAGATCATGTTTTTCTGCTTAGCACTTAAGCAACTAATGGAGAAAAAAGCTTCAAGTGAATGAGGGATGGCAGCCAGTTATTTATCAAGTACTGCATATCTTTTGTACAGCTCACCAGAGAGTTCAGCTCTCCTTCCCAAAAGAAATTTCTGCTCCCTCTAGCCTCTACTTCTTGCTCCCCACCTCAGCCTGCCCCAGTTCTTCCTGCTGGATGGTGACCAAGCCAAATCCCAAGCACAGCCCAAAACTAGTTCACCTTTTCAGACAGCAGCCAACTGCACAAGACTGTTCTGACAAAATGTGACATGCCCCTAGTGTCACGGGACTCAGAGTAAGTGGCAACCAAGTGGCACATAATCTCTTCTGTGCTCCATGGAAAACAGGCACTTAGCCCTCATGAGGCACAAACAAACAAGAGACAGAAAAGCTAGCAGACACCGCATCTGGGTGATATATCCAGATGCTTAACAGAGCCCAAAGCTTGAGTTTGCACTGGGAGGCCCAACACTTTAAAAGACTGACAAACCACTGTAGTTTTACTGTTACCTGGCATAGCATCCATTGATATGTATGGTTCAAATGGTACAGATTTCTTCCTGTTTCTTGTGATCAGGAAGACTCCTAGAAATGCTATGAGGCACCTGAGAGAGATAAGACAAGATCTACTGTGAAAAGGGAGGGGAGCCAATATTGCATGTAGCTTCTTCCAAGTGCCTGTCATGTAGCACCATAACGACTTTAGACCTGGAAGTGAAAGAACTGTGAACAACCCCTTCAACAGAAAAGATGCAGTTGTTCTGATTGCAATATCCACCTGGCAATCAGAACAATTGCATCTTTTCTTTATCAAAACACAGGGAAGAATTTTCACATTAATTAATCAATTAACCTTGACTACCTAAAGGGGAAAGGAAGCATATCAAAAGTTGGTTTTCTTTGATGAATTTCCAGGATACAGCAGCCTGACCTTTGAAAGGTTTCCCATAGGTAAACACACTAACAACAGTTGATCTTGATTTTCATAGTACTTTGACAGAGAAAGGTGCAGTTCACAATGTTAATCTCCCAATTGTTTGGGTTTTTTTTCCTGTACTAATCTGAAAGACATTTCAGAACGTCCTCTGATTATGGAGAGCTAATCACATTAAAACTCTGTACCAGCACTAAGTGCTGAATTACACAGCAAATGTTTTACTGATCGTATCAGAATTGTATGAGTGCCCATGCCCTTAGGAACAGGGATTTAGTGTTTAACATTGTACAATGAGGTGTAACTTGGCATGACACAATTCCTCTAGAGCATCCATCACCACTCAGATAAGACACTGAGCTCTGTGGGCCATTGTCTGCTCTGACAGAGAAAGTGCTTTCAGTCTGTCCTCCTCTCCAAGACAGAATGTACCTCAGTATATAAACAGAGACAGACAGAGATATGCTTTTTTTAAAATTTTAGTCATATGAAGAAATACTTTCTATTTTTCTATTAAGGAAACTTTAAACACTTACCCAAGTGCAAACATACATATATGGAGAACATCTTCCCCGGTGAAGTCCAAGTAAAAAGTTGCTCCTTGAAAAGAAAATAATCCATGACATCTTTCTTCCCAGCTCACATGAGCAGTTAGTGCTACATCTCCAGCATTAGTCCCTCCCCAAACCAAGTCCTGTAAGATCTGGACTATGAGGAAGAGAATTGTATCATCTTTGTATAGAGGAAGCAAATAAATTTACACATTGTATCACAAACATTTTAACAGAATTTAGAGAAAATTACACAAGGGGAAATTGTAGCTTCCTATTCAAGTGACACATCTAAGAGTCACCCTCTTCCTCTACACCCAGGCAGGGTGTGAGTAATGCAGTCTCTGCAAGTTCCCATGCACTTAAAAGAAACTGCCAGAACTTCATTTTCTGTGGGAGAAAATTTTAACACACTCTAATGGGGTAATTCACATTTTTTGAAAGAAAAACATAACAAAGCCAGCTGCAGAAGAGAGATGATAAGAAAATACAAGTCATCATCTTGCAGAGGATGCACATTCCTTGCCTGTAAGTGAGGAACATTTTCCAGAAATCTTTTGCCCTTCTTTTAGAAAGGACCAACACACTGGTTTTGGGGACTGGTACCTGCTGTGATGGCTACTGTGGTGGACAAGATGTAGCTGATGCTGGCGATCTGAGATGAGTCATAGAGCTGGGAGGCTTGAGCTAAAAACCTGCAATAAAAAGACAGGCAACAGGGGCTGACTGGGGAAAGATACACTGTTACAGCAGTCATCATGGACTAGCACAGGTCTTCTTTTTGGAAACACATTTCAAAAGTGATGCAGAAATTTAAGGACCTTCATTCTCTTCCTCATTAAACCTGCAGCAGCATCTCTTGGAATTAGTATCAATGATAGAAGCATAAATCTTGTGGCTACACTGACTAAAGGCAGAGAAATTATTGCCACTGGGGCAGAATGTCACTCACAGTTTGAGGAGCTTTTTATCCCTGCCACTGGCTTTTTATGTTATAACAAGGGCACAGGGGAAAAAAAAAGCAGACACATCATCACCAACACTGATTCTGCACTTTTATTTTAGCCAGTGCACAGATACTATATTCAAAATGTGCCACCATTTCATTCCCAACATGGTTTTGTAAATACTTGAATGATGCACAAAAAACCAAACCCACTTGGCAGTATCACTATGTGGAAAAGCACAGAATACCACTGTCCCATACTCCTGTGACATGGATTTGAGGACAAGTCACAGAAGAGAATGGATAATTCTTCTAAAATGTAATCAGCATTCTTGGAATGGATCACAAACTGCCTCCTGATTACTAACCCACTGATTATTAACCCACTGAAACCAGCACAATTATAGACAAAAAGAGAGGGAGTGTCTTACGTTGCCTGGAAGATGGCTGTAGCAACCATGCACACCAACATGATGTAAAAGATGGGGTAGTCAAGTTGTAAGTTTCCTTGGATTGAGACAACAATCATCCCTGCCACAGCCTTCACTGTCACAACAGTCATGGAACCTGTGAAGGAGCAGTGAGACTGAGCTGAAGCACTGACACGGGCCCAGGGACAGGAGGACTGCACTCTTGCTCTGTGCACAACAGGCAGCTCCAACCAACCCAAGGTCTGCAAGAACTTCTTTTGCCAGGGCAAACAAGGGATGCAAACTGTGTCTTTTATCCCTAACTCTCCCAATTTTATTCCAAACAACTTCACCACAGTGACCTTCAATAAATCACTTAACCTTCTGGTATCACAGTTCCCTTCTCTACAGCAGTGGGAGCATTTACTGTGGGGTTTTTTGAAGTATTTTAAATTGTGCAATGCCATGATGGAAGGGTACAAATTTGTATTTCTGATGCCATATTGGCCTGGTTAATAAAGCTAAGGAAGTTCTCAAAACAAGAATCACAGCCATTTCTGCTCTGCTTCCATTTCTTGAAAGCACAAGTCAGGGCCATTCAGAGTGAGGATAGATGTTTTGTCCATGGTTCATGCAGCCTCTGAGGCATCAGTTACTGAAATCCAGCCCCAAACAGTTAAAAAAAAGGAAAAAGGAAAGACACTGCAGTGACTGAAATTGTATAAATAGCAAAAATTGAGGACTGCAGGATGGATTCAACAGCATGTCAGGCTGTGTCACTGCCTTGTTGTTATTCACCCTTTTTGAAGTCTGATTGATCACAGTTTCTTAAAAAAAAACAACAAACACAACAAAAAACAGATTAATGTGGAGAAAGTGGAATCCTGGCCTTCCCGAAGTCCCAGTAGGATCCCACGGGAGGCTCTGAGGATATCCAAAGCATCACAGGACCCCATGCCCAGAGGCTCTCCCAATTTCAGTAGGAATATGCAGAGCATTTATAATTCCTTTAGCCACACAGCAAATCTTCCCAGCACCAAGGACAGTCTTGTAGGTCAAATCCTCTTTCAGCCACCAAATCAGCCTTGCTTATCCACTGACTAGATAAGGTATCCTTCCATGCTTTAAAATTAAAGATTAAAATTAAGAACACGGATGAATAACTTGCACTTTCTCTATTTGGCAGATTATTTGTCCTTATGGGATCAAAGAAGTGCTCATTGTTCAAAGGTCAATTGCAGAGATCCTAAGCACCACTGCAAGATATTGGCTTTATCTAATTTGTAGTAACATTTCTGCAGTAGATTGGTGCATTTTATGACATTAATTAGGTTAATCTCATCCCTATAAGCCACAGATGCCTCAATTTACTCTTAGAAGCCAGTTAAAAGATCTAACAAACCCTTATCAACTTACCCAGCAAAGCTACCAGCAGAAGAATAACTACAATGTAGTTTGCATTTCTCTCCTTGTAAAAATATAGTAGCAGGCAGAATATAATGATCTCCACAAGCTACAAAAAACAGAAATGAGAATATGAAAAGATGCAGCATGTCTGGGGTTGGCAGTAAATGGGATTCTGAGCCAATCAAACATTAGATTTGCACAAAAGGGCAAATCAAAGGAAAATGAGGATCCCATGTAATTACAGATCAAATTTAGCAGGATCTTAGATTGTAATTAGATGTGACATTCAGTAGTTTCTTGCAGAACAGGAAACAGGGGACACTTTTGATGCTATATTCATGGTAAAGCAACAGGTCAAATAATCCTGACTGAATGTTTCCATCAGAGACCCCAGCCTGCTATCTGCAGTGAGGTTCTTGAAGTGATCCCTGTAGTATACATCTTATTTAACAGCTCAACTTAACTCTATTAAAACCCAGTGGATTCCACAAGATTTTCAATGAGAGATTGATGGTTCCAGAGAAAGTCAGTCCAGAAGAACCCCAGGAACCTGATGATCTTTAAGTTCATTCCAACCTTAACTATTCTATGATTCCATTATTTGGACACCTCTGGAGCAGTTGCTCTCAACTGCCATCAGTAAAGCTGACACAGCAGGGACAGAGTAAGTTATTTTAAACTTCTCAGTTAAAGATATTTAAGTCTTAACAGAATAATTCAGGGAAAGGATGAGAGAGTTCCAAATTGTACATCCAACATGGAACTGACACCAGGAAAAGCTGCCATAGGTTCATTAGCAAGTCCAAGGAATATTGCTAGTAAACATAAGGAAAAATAATGCTTGAAATGAAACTCCCCAGCAGGCACATTGCAGAAAACTGCCCCACATTTTATGGGCCATCTTACCATATACAACAGAAATGGCCAGCTCACTAAATGCCTAGTGATATTTTCTCCTGTCATCTTCTCATGACTATTAGGTCCAAATGTTATCAGCAGGTAAGTTCCAACAATTGCCAAACCACAGCCTACAAAGGACAAAACATAGCGCCCTTTGGCAACCAAAGGACAGGAGAAAGAGAGGACAAAGTTAGTGGGTTAGTGAGGATGCATGGAATTAATATTGCAGATGCAGAGTGGCCACTAATGACATTGTGCACATTCCTCTGCATGACTCAACCCTCCTCCCCTCATGCCCCACTTTTGGAGTATTAGAACCAAAACCAACCCCAGGCAATGTGTGTGCTGTGAGTTGAGGGGAAAAAAAGCTCCTATCAGGTAGCATCTGCTAAACAGGAGCTACAAGTTCTGTATCTGGGGTTTATCCTGCCTGGCACTGCCCACAGCCCATCTTCTAGGAAATGGAGGGATTAACACCCCAGTTCACACTTGCACATGGATCAGCTGGTTCATGGAGGAACAGCTGGTTCAGTTGCCGAGTCAAGGCCCTAGGCTGCAGCTTCAGCCCAGAGAACCACAATTCTCAAATCCTGCAAACAAACACCATTTTCATGTCTTTCTAAAATCTGGGAGACTCAGCTGATTTGGCACAAGTCAGAAAAAAACCAACCAACCAACCAAAAAACTCCATTTTTAACAATCAGTGGATAAGATGCCACATTTCTTCAAAGAGGTACTACAGCTAATGGACATCTTGCTATGCCTCTAATTAGGATTCTTGAGAGGCCATGCTAAGTGGTGAATGGCTTGTAAATAGAGAAGAAAAAATGAACTGTGGAACTTACTCAAAAAATCCTTGGGCTTCCATTTCTCTTTAATAAATATAATTCCTATGATTGCACTAGCTAGAAAAAAAAGAGGAGAGAGAGAAACAGTGAGTTATGTGTCAGCCCAGTGATCAGCCAGCTCACACCTGTAGGGCTGCTGCCTCTTTCCCCCTTACCTATAACAGAGACCGCACTGAGTGGCACGATCAGTGAAAGAGGAGCAAAGGCATAAGAGGAAAACACTCCCAGTTCACCCAGCACCAGCAAGAACAGTCCACACCACCATGTCTTGGTTTTGAAGTAGGCTCGGGGGTCTTTGGAACCTGCCAGTCGGATGTGGCTGTATTTCTAGAAAAGAAAATGAAGGCAAAGAGTCTTTGGTATGCTTGATGCTTTTTAATGCAGGATGCTTGAGGGAAGATCAATATTTGCTTCGTGATGCTCACCTGGAGGTTGAGTGCAATACTGATAACAAGATGGCCAAAAATAGCTAGTAATGCACCAATCAAGTTCTCCTGTAAAAACAAAGCAAACACAGATATTAAATTTAGCCACTGGACCCTGAAGGAAGCTGGAGCTTTCTGCACAATCTGGAAGAGAGCAGACTTTCAAAACAGGTCCTAGATCACCTGTCAATAAAATCTCTGTTTATCTTCTTTTCTTTCTAAGTGATCTAGGGCAATTCAGGCAAGTTCCCTGTGGCTGTGTTCCAAAGCTGGGAGACTCAAGTGAAAGAGAACTCTTCCTTAACAGACATTTTCTACAACAGACAAACTAACGTGCATAGATTTGCATTCTTTGCAAAGGGGAAGAAGATAAAGCTAAACACAATGACCCATTCACTAGATCTTCCCATTGAAAAACTCTTTTCATGAGGATGTTCCTTGCCCTGGAATTCAGCAGAAGATGAATCAGGAACCTCTGCATTCTAGGGGTCACATTTTAAGAACTATTCTGCTCACATCCACATACATCATCTGCAGGTTCAGTAGGTAATTTAACCCATTTGAAAAGGCAGCTCAGTTATCCCAGATTTTATGCTGCTTTTTATATGAACCAGTTATTCCAAGGTAACAGGCAGCTGGCAGTAGCTCCAAGCAGGCTCCCAACCCCTTCCACATTAGCATTCCCAGCTCAGGGATAATTCTGTCTAAAGACAGAGTTTGAAATAAAAGAAGGATGTAAAGCAGGCTGAGTCACAAAGGAAATGTACATTAGGAGTGAAGAGAAGAGCCCGAGGAGAATCCAGGCCATTTAGTATTTGTGTTCAACAACTGTAAATCTCATTAGATGTCATTAGCACTTATTATTTCAGTGCAGGTCTCAAAGATCCAGTGGAGGACTGGCTCTGATTGATTTGGGATGACCAAGCTCACATTCCTGTTCCTCCGTCAACACTAAATATGTCTTGACTTTCTCATACATAGTAAGAAAAAGTCTTAAAGATTCAAGTTCTTATCAGTGGAACAAAAAGCCTTTATCAGGATGTCCAAAAGGAAGACCCACCCAAGCATCTTCACCCAAAACCACCCGAAGAAGTGGTCTCTCTTCAGAGACATCTTCTGTCTCTGAAGACACAGATGCTGCCTCTGCTGGGCAGCATTAAGTGCAGGGCAGGTTTGGGATTTCTCTTTCTTTCTCTCAATACTTACATACACAGCATATAACACATTGGGGCCTCCAGGCATGGCTAAAAATAAAGACAGTGCACTTTCTGCCACAATATAACCCAATTACAGTGGCATTTGCAGCTTACTTGACTAGTTATGGCCTTCTAGGGATAGACTGGGGTAGAAATCTGACCTTGTAAGAAAAGGAGTCGGTGTGTGGCTGCACAGAAACTGCTGCTGTGGCCAAAGGCAATTGCTGAAGTTGCAGGTTTGGACTGTTGCCTCCTTCCATTTTGGTTGATTGGAGTGTTTGCTTTTCAGCCTCTTTGATGCTGGAACTTCTCTTTAAAGAAGAGACTTGCACTCTGCTGGAACCACCTTATCTGTAACTTGGTACCACTTCTTCCCATCCATCCTGTTTTCTTGGACAAGCAACGATTACTTCAGTGAAGCACAAAAAAAAATAATTCTCTGCAGCCTGTTAGTTGCTCTTCTTCCCCCTCCAGGCTCCACTGAGATAGGGCAGGCACCAGAGACAGAACTGTAGATCAGCAAGTATTTCCAGCCAGCCAGTGAGGCAGCAAGGTTATATTCCTCCAAGGTGACACTAAGGGGGCAAAAAAAAACAAAAGTAAAAAAAAAATCATTATGTCAAATGAACTTAATGGTCCAAAACGTGCAATTAAACCCTGCTGAAGGACAGGCCACAGAAAACTCCTTGGAATCAAACTAACCACTGCACAGATCAGCAGAGAAAGTTTAAATGCTTCCTTACAAAGTCTGAAACACAGAAACTCAGACAGACCTTGTAAATTGGCTTGGCTCCAAGCATGACTTACTGAACTGGCATTTAACATCAGGCCTTGCCATTTGGAAAGCTCTTCCCAAAGAGTTTCTCAAGTCCTCCAGGCCCTGCTTTTCTTTTCTCTGAGCACCTCTTGTTGGTCGGTCAGGACACAGCATTACATTAGTCATGCCAACCCCACGTGCTGGGGATGACTGTGCTGCTGTTCATGCAAACAGAGGTCATTTCAGTGTAATTGCTGTCAGGAGAGTTAGGAGGCTAAATTCCTTAAAACCAGTGTCTGGAAAGCACCATCTGCAGCAAACTGGTCTCAGGTCCCTTCCTGCTGTAATGGCTTCTCTGAGCAAAGACCTCAAGGCTGGTGGGAAGACCCCTTTGTACAGGGGGGGACAGACACTGCAGGGCTGTGATCCTCACAGGTGATGTGTCCTTGGTCTATTCAAAGACCACCCAAAATGGTGTGGGCTCAGCACCCCTTAGACCCCGCACAGTTGTCCTGTAGTCACATCCTGAGGTAGCAGAACCCATCCCATGCTCAGGTCCCAAACCACAACCTCTCTTGGTCAACCTTGTCATGCGAGGGATTACTTTAAAACACAGGGTTGTCCCAGCGCCTCCAGTATTGGGGGAACCGAGGTAGCGTGACAGTCTAAGCCACGAAAGGAGGGGAGGCGGGGGGCAAAGCCGCTCCCATCGCGAGGAGACCCTGCCCGGGCAGAACAGAGCCTGGCTGAGCGCAGAAGCGTCCCCAGGGGACACCCCCCGCGGGTCAGGCCGCCCTGCCCGAAGCAGGACACGGGGGCGGTTCGTTCCCAACCACAAGTCTCCGGGAAGCCCGTCCCCGCGGGCCGCGCACTCACCTGCCCCCTCAGGGAGCGGCCCCCGCGCTCCGCC